TGAAATTGTATATTTACAAAATGTTTATATTTACGTATCGAGTCGGTTGTTTCTTTTTGCAACTCTTTCTGGGAATCTATGCAATCCAAAATTTAAAAAAAATTATCTATTAATTTTTACAACACTTTTGTACATCGTTTTTTAAGATAAAAATACATCTGAATTTATATAAATTATGCATGCATGTCTATGTAAAGATTCTGAATTTAAAATGTATAAGACATATTATAAAATAGTCTATACAAATTTGAAATTAGTTTATCACTGACTAATTTTCATATATCAACGCTACATTTTTTTATCACAATTAATACGGTTTGAAAAGATTTATTTTTATGTTTTATATATAATTGTAATAACTACCCGTCGAATCACTTTTGAAACTCAAATTTTTCATGAAAGATCGTACTACACCTAGTAAAAACAAATTATGAGTTTAGCTACAAAAAAGTTTCAAATAATAAAATTAGCATAAATAAAAATAAAATATTTAACTTAATAACTGTGGTTATTTAATAATAATAGGTGGACACCATCTTAATATGTTACAAGCAAACGGATAGCAGCAAGGAAATACCTAATGATTGTTTTTGTTAAAATTTACTTTCTGCTATTGGACGGTGTATATAAGGCTTTACTGACAGTCAAACCTCAAAACGCTAACACGGTAGTAATTCCAAAAATATTTAAATAAAGTTTTCGAAAAACAAATATTATATTGGTATTATTAAATATTATATTATATTGGTAATGAAATATGATATGAATAATTAAAACGTAACAAACTATTGATACATATTTGGCTAACATATCTCAGATAAAGAATAGTATTTTACCTAGTAACAAATAACGCACAATCATTTAGTTACAATTAAAAAACTTAGGGTTATATTTTGTGGTTAACGTAATTACCTTTTTCAGAACTAGAGACACCTGTAACAAAAATATTAAATAATAGTACAGTAAATGAAAACCATTTTATGTTTTATCTATAACAGTACCTAAAACTACATTTATTCAGACTAGTTATTAGGCATTTGAATAATGATTATACTTCGAACAATCATCAAAAGTTTTAATCAAAAAACATACAGCTTTAAGATTTAAGATAACTCAAATCAAATTTTCATCTATTTTGCTTAGAAATAAATGACTATCATTTTTGAAATTGTATATTTACAAAATGTTTATAATTACGTATTGAGGTGGTTGTTTCTTTTTGCAACTCTTTCTGGGAATCTATGCAATCCAAAATTTAAAAAAAAATTATGTATTAATTTTTACAACACTTTTGTACATCGTTTCTTAAGATAAAAATACATCTGAATTTATATAAATTATGCATGCAAGTCTATGTAAAGATTCTGAATTTAAAATGTATAAGAAATATTATAAAATAGTCTATACAAATTTGAAATTAGTTTATCACAGACTAATTTTCATATATCAACGCTACATTTTTTTATCACAATTAATACGGTTTGAAAAGATTTATTTTTATGTTTTACATATAATTATAATAACTACCCGTCGAATCACTTTTGGAACTCAAATTTCTCATCAAAGATCGTACTACACCTAGTAAAAAGAAATTATGAGTTTAGCTACAAAAAAGTTTCAAATAATAAAATTAGCATAAATAAAAATAAAATATTTAACTTAATAACTGTGGTTATTTAATCATAATAGGTGGACACCATCTTAATATGTTACAAGCAAACGGATAGCAGCAAGGAAATACCTAACGATTGTTTTTGTTAAAATTTACTTTCTGCTATTGGACGGTGTATATAAGACTTGACTGACGGTCAAAACTCATAACGCTAACGTGGTAGTAATGTCAAAAAGATTTAAATAAAGTTTTCAAAAAACAAGAAAAACAAATATTATATAGGTATTATTAAATATTATATTATATTGGTAATGAAATATGATATGAATAGTTAAAACGTAACAAACTATTCATCTATTATAGGCAATTCTATCTATATATTTTGCTCAGGAATGAAGTTATGGAGGACCTATTGATACATATTAGGCTAACATATCTCAGATTAAGAATAGTATTTTACCTAGTAACAAATAACGCACAATCATTTAGTTACAATAAAACAACTTAGGGTTATATTTTGTGGTTAACGTAATTACCTTTTTCAGAACTAGAGACACCTGTAACAAAAATATTAAATAATAGCACAGTAAATGAAAATCATTTTATGTTTTATCTATAACAGTATCTAAAACTACATTTATTCAGACTAGTTATTAGGCATTTGAATAATGATTATACTTCGAACAATCATCAAACTTCTAGTAAAAAAACATATAGCTTTAAGATATAAGAACTCAAATCAAATTTTCAGCTGTTTTGCTTGGAAATAAACGACTATCATTTTTGAAATTGTGTATTGACAAATTATTATAATTACCTAATAAGGTGGTTATTTTTTTTTGCAACTCTTTCTGGGAATCTATGCATTCTAAAATTAAAACAAAAAAAAAAAATTTATTAATTTTTACAACATCTTTTCTTATGATAGAAATACATCTGAATTTATAAAAATTATGCATGCAGTTCTATGTAAAGATTCTAAATTAAAAATGTATAAGAGTAATTACGCTGCAGTATTTCTTCGTGGTTCTCATTACTTTCATCGATTGCCTTTGCTGAAATTTTAACGAGAAAAATGTATACTTGAAATTTTATACTTAATATTAAGCAACTACGTGCAGACACGTACATTTGTTTGAGAAAAATTATTACCTGGTGCAACAAACATACACGACAGTTTCACTAAAATTTGAATAACATAAATGTATATAAGATATGTACCTTACTTAACACTTTCAAATATTGTAATAATTATAATTACCCATCGGTGTAGTTCCACCAACAATTTTTCTAATTACCGGTAACAAAGGACCTAGAATAAGAAAATAATGAGTTGAGGTAACAAATAAATTCAAATAATAAGTGTATGTACCATCACGATTTTTTATCTGCTTCATTTGACTATCTGTAATAAAAAAAAAATTAAATAAATATATGCAAATATTTAAAATTAAAGTTAAATTTGTATGATAAAAAAAATTACTGACTTGTGTAGAAAAGCTCCTTTTTATATTCAACTGCGAAAAAATTAATCATTAGATTTTTGATTACCTCTAGTAGGTAGTGTAAAAAATAAAATAAACAATAATTACTTTTTTTATCTGCTAAGACATTTACAACAACAAGTAATATTAAAACACAAAATCGTCTCATTTTTATCTGCAAAAAATTATTTTTCGTTTTAAAATGATATCTTCTAAATCACTTAACCGATATCTTGATGTAGCTAATCTGTAGACAAGAAATCGCACTTGATAGTTACTTCCTAGAAAATATGGTCAAAATAAAATAAATTATACCATACAAATTTAGAATTATTTTGATTATTTTTAAAAAAAATGTATAGAGATCCATAGTTTAAGGTTTGAGTGTTTTCTTGATTTTAAAGGAGAAGGGGTGAACTTATTTAATTTTGTTTTAAAAAATTAATAAAAACATCGTTGAAAAAAAAAATCTTCTCAGCTGCGCATCAATGTTAAAATCAAATTATGCTTAGTGTTATTTTACATGAAATTTTTTTTGAAACACTGTTTTTTTTAGAAAGTATCAAATCTAAAGAATATTTTATACCAATTGACCATTATTTAGACTATTTTTAAAATAATGATGTTTATAGAGCGCTAATAAAATTACAAAATAAAATGTAAAATTTTCGTAAAATCTAATATTATTATTAAAAAAAAAAAATTATTTTATAAAGGTTTGCTTATTGTTCCTTATTTTAAGTTGAAACATGTACACATTTTTAAAAACAATTTTTTAATATCGAATGAAACTTAAATATTGTGTCAACATTTTAGGTTATGTTTCTGATCTATAAATTATATACTACACTAATAAAATGGTGTACTACTAAAATTTCAATAATATATTATTATTATTATAATAATTATTGAAATAATTATTTATAGAGCGTTAATCAAATTACAAAACAAAGTGTATGATATATTATATTTTATAAACTTTTTTTTTTAAAGGTTTGTCTATTGTAATTTATTTCAAATTGAATCGTATACACATTTTTTTAAGAAAAATTTTTTCCTGATTTTGAATGGAACTTTTTAAATATCGGGCCAAATGAGGCAAATTTTAGGTTCGATTTCTGATCAATACAAAACGGTGTACAATTTCTGTACTATATTATTAATGAAATTAGCCTAGTGGTTAAATGTTTATCGCAAATCTAAACACGAAAATAAAAAAAATAGTAAATAAAAAAAACTTAATAAAAATGCGTTAATTACTTACTAGTTCTGGAATTCTGGTAGAACTCTTGTGAACTGGTATGTTAAAACAACCGTTTAAAAGTGATTCGTTTTGTGGCTTTTTCCCGAAACAGTAAAATCGGTATGGATTTTGCAACACGCAAGTATATCTCATGTATACAGGTGTAAAGAAATGTTTAGGCTATTGCTTTTATTTTTCTACACAGCACTGTGTGCTATTACTCATATGTTGTTCACGTCGATACGAAACTTAAAAAATAAATTATGATTGTTGTTTGTTTTACACATAGACATAATACTTCAACGGTTTTTCATATCGATACGAATTTAAAGTAAATAAGACCCCAAAAAAATATGTTTGCTAGATTTGTGTTTTTTACACGCTTTATCGGTTGTTGTAATATACTAACGTATTTCATAGGAATAAAATTCAAAGTATAAAATAAAATTTGGGCCTCTGGTTAAATTTTTCAACTGTTGCGTGCCTAACACACGAACGCCGTTATACGAAATTTAGAGTAAATTAATATTACTCAGGTTAGACCTTTTTCACTGTTAAACCTAACATTGAAAAAGGGTCCGGCTCCAGACCCTCTCCCAAAAAATTCAGCCTAACAAAGTAGTGATATCTACATTGTGGCCAAGTCTGCTTTTGCGTTAGTTCATAACTTCACTTCACTACTACTTTCATGAGCAACACATGCTTTTTTATTTATTTTGCTTAACACTTGGTCAGTTACTGAATGAGGAATAAAACAGACTTGACCGCAATGTAGATTCCAGGACTTTGATTGGCTGGCTTTTTTGGGAGCGAATCTGAACCTTTTTTTCTTTTCTTCAGAGTTGTCCACGTAACTCCTAAGTGAATACATTTGATGCTTAATGCTTCATTCAGAAACTGACCAAGGGTTAGGTTAAATTTTTTTTTGCTTCAGACAATTGTTATTGTAAAAATGTTCCACTCTGGTTCTTCTTTACAGTTGACATGCATGTACTTGTTTTGCCTATTTAGTGTGACGTTACCAGAAGTCGTTTCTTCTTACCATTATCGAGAATATTTTTTTTATTTCTATGTTCTACAAAGAGCTTAACATTTTTTTTCTCCACAAGAATTTAATGTACAGATAATGTACCTAACCAAAAATTTTAAAAATGTAAAAGTTTAGTGAATCAAAATAGTTTTATTTATTTACAAATATTTAAGTATTGTATTATAAAATTATAATACAATTTTTTTATTTTAGTACAGAATGGAATTTACTTTCATACGTTAAACGTCTTGTTTTTATAAATTCACTACAAAGCATACGTTTTTCGATTCTTGTTATACAGGGTGATTCATATTTTGAAAATGTTTATCCCCATTCCTTATAAGCCAAAACGGGAGATTTTTTGTTTTTTTTTTTTAAATGGCAACATGTTTAACAATGTTTTTCATTACATAAATCTGTAGACAAAAAATAAAAAAATATTTTAGCGTTTGAATTTTTAATTATTTGTTCATTGTTGTTGACTTCATAAAGATTTGATTTTTTTATTTATTTAAATTGAATGGGAAAAACAAGTTCTACATATTGCCTAAACATCTTATTTTACAGAAGAATGTAATGTACAAATGAAGAATAACAGAAAATACAAAAAATGTAGAAGTCTATTGAATGGAAATAGTTATTTTATTTAAAAACAGAAAAACTTGTAGACACTTTTCGAGGTACTTTCTTTTGTATGTCGTGAGTTTACGAATCGGTGTTTCTGCAAAATAACATTGCTTGACACAATGATGAATCAGCCAGTCCCCTCGGGCATTCAGTAGGTGCAAGTGTTTTATATACACTGTACATATAATATTACATACCAATAGTAATGGTAACTAATCCATTTGTTTACAATAAATTACACGTTTAATTGATATTCGAAATAAAACAGAATAAACACGGCCAGAAGGCTGTACTCGATTATTAAGAAGTTCAACAATAGTTATGGTAGGTGACCAAGACTTTTCTGACGGTTAGTTATAGTAATGGAATAAAACCTATTATAGTCATTGGTGTGTATTAGACTTTAAGCGCCGAACATCATCGCCGCTGTGTATGTTTTCAACGTAATAGGAACTTTGAGCGGTTCGTTAAGAATTCAGCGTACAAGTAATTATTTAACTTTTGCTGCACATAGTTTAAATTCGATTTGTGTTGAATATTTTATGATGTTACACGTCAGCTGACTCGGTAGTACTCATGTTCAAAGTACCGAAAATTAAGTGGCATGAAGTGCGCACAAAAGTTGATTGCATATTCTACGCCCCGACGAGATCAGTGTATACCGTACGCGAATAACGCTACCAAGTTATTTAATTATAAATTTCACGGTAGACATCCATAATGGATGTCTAAAATACGTTTTGGAAAATATGTTCAACGTTTAAAATTTGTATTCGCGCAGCGTGTAAACGCAAATACATCCTTGATTAAAAATTCTTTTTGAACTTATTACATTTGGCGGAGCTTTTCATTTTTTCGTTGCCTTAACGGGACATTCCGAGTTTTTCGACTTTTTAGAAATTAAGTTGAGCACTAAGTGTAAATAATAATACTAAATATCATGTTTTAACATGAATACATTTGAATCGTGTGAAATGTACCATTAGACATATTCGTGATGATTCATATGTTTCTTCTTGAAGAAGTTAGGTTAGGTTAAACTCTACTTTGACTAATTAAAATCTAGCGGTATAATTTAAATTGAACATTTTTAATTAGTTTATTTTTTAAGTCTACACTTTTTAACCATTGAATATTTTTAATTGGAGTTTGCTTAAGGCGCTGTTGGTGCGCGAAACGAATTATCTTAAAGATAATACCTACTCGTGCATACATTTACTTATACAAATTAGTTTTATCTATAAGTTATAACGCGCCATTATATGACATCTCGAGTTTATTAAGTATAATATCAGAGAATACTTAAAATAATGAAGTTGTTTGCTTTTTATCGGCCTCGGGGATCCAATTAAGCGTGTCTGACAACTGAACACTAAATAAATGTACACTGTACAATCACCATAGTAATTGTGGCTCGTGTAACTCTTAATCAGTTTGGAAAATACACAACCGAAAACCACCCTAAATTACAATATGCTCGCAGCGGCCAGCTTACCTATATTTCATTGTAAACATGCTTAAACATCTGGATTAATTACCTTATAAATGAAGAAGGGATTCCGAGAAAATATCGTTAAATTACATTTTATTGGAGATCCGAAAACGCAGTGCTTTTGTACAAATATACCGAGCCGGATTCTCCTAACTGATAACGACTGTCGGATGTATACTCATTTGAACTTCTTGGGGTCGGTCTATTCGGAGAGAGATAGTCCTTGGTAATCTATATATGCGTTTACAAAATACAACATCTCTAACAATAACGGTCTGAAACAAAAGGCGTGTAGACAGACTAACGCAATAATTGTATTGACACTATCTTGTGCTGGTTTCGTTCCCGTCTGCTGTCAACCGAAATCCCATTGGAAACTCGTGTACAACTATAGCTGTGGTTTGCTGAAATAGTTTTACCGTATCGTTAGAGGACAAAAACATTTTAATCAAATTTAGACAAACACATAATTATGCATCCAACGCTTGTACGAGAAAACTATCCATTAAGCTGTGCATTTTTAGTTAATAGGTAAATGGTAAATGGTTTTTTTCGGGCAAGTATTTTGTAAGACAATAAAACTCTAAACACTTGTCAACAACAACACATCGCCCATAGCAGTGAGCATGTTATTGACCTAAATTTGCTACGAATAAAATATAATGTCGAATAAATGTCTGAACCGTGAAGACTGGTGGTTGAGACATAAGGCTTAAATGGATTATAATAAGCCAATAAATAAGAAGATTGAAAGAAATAAAACTATTTTCAAAAACACTAAATCTGATCCACTCCGCAAAAGGCGAAATAAATGCTTGCAAATTATTTAGGAAGGGTTAATGGTATTTTATATACGGACTGTTTAAAACGTCCCGAAAGGCCTAACTTATAACTTAGACATGTTTTCAATGCTTTTATTTTTTTTTACCTTTGACGTTCGGAGTTAACTCACAAACAAGATTACACCACCCCACACTGTTTATATTTTTATATCTATACCATATAGAAATTTAAAAGGGTAGAATACATGGGTAACAAAAACAGATTGGAAATCATCCCGATTTTGGAGAATTTATAACTTTACAATAAGATTTAAAACTAAAATTAAAAATGTACTACAAACTAAGCATCGAACGAGTATTGAAAAAATGTCGAACGGTTATAGAAAATACACAGGTGTGGAGGCCTCTTAATAAAGTCAAGGTGAATTTTCTTCGGTTACTTTCAACACGGTCTATGTATTAATTCTGATAGCTTAAGAACTCAAAGTAAATTTAAAATGAAAAGTAAAAAACTAATACCATATTTCCCTTGAAGGAAACACATTGGAACATGAATATGTCTTGTGGCCTTTCCTTTCTTGAAACTAACGATATTCACTTACTACTACTACTTACAACTACTACTCACTTACAAAAAACCTATATACCTTGACAATCAGTGTAAACGGACTATGCCTATATGGTTATCATAAACAGCACAGTGAGCATGTGATTGTCTATGACGTGGTTTGTACAAGCTATAATGTGTGCTTGATTACTCCAGAGAATGTACAATGGAGTGCAGAATGACCTAAATTTGGTATAAATAAATAATGTCGAGTAAATGGCAACTATAAACTATGAAGACTGCCTTGAATGGATTATAATAAGCCAATAAATAATAAGAAGATTGAAAGAAATAAAACTATTTTCAAAAACACTTCGAATCGAATCTGTGTACAAGTAAAAAGTAACAAATGAGTTTATAATCTCAAGTAAAACACGTTTATTATAAGGTACATTACATTCGATATTTTGGATACAATTGCGGTTTGGAACAATTATTTAAAAATTGTTATTATTATTCTTTATTTTAAAGGTCCCACACCATGCTAGAGAGTGTAGCCACCTCGTTGTTTATATTGGTTAGATGACACGAATGACCAATAACTACAGCTTCTTTTATATATGATTTTGGATCATTTTGACTTCTGATCAGTGCTTTTAACCGACACATCATGCGATTTGCGATATAGTCTTGGTTTCCAGCTTGAAAAATAAAAAAGGTTTATTTAAAAATTTGTCAAACTTACCTTACAAGTTACTACAATAATTTATTGTGTAATACATAACTAAGACACGAACACCCTGTGTATCATAATTTATTATCCATGAAAATTTTATAAAATACACCTTAAAAAAGAAAACCGTAATTTGTTTTATAGTTAAACTTATTAAAAACTTTATATTAAAAAAAACATTGTAAATAGAAACTAAAATTTTGCTAAAAACTACCCAAATTATATATATATATTATATTATAATTGTCTTGATTATATTTCTAACATGTATAAAAATAATAATTTAATATAATCATTATATATCTAGGAAAATAATTTAAGCATAAAAAAAATATGAAATGAAATAAAATGGTTTAAGTATGCTTCTAATGAATGGCCTCCCTAAAACATTACTATTACTTTGGACAGGTTACAATAAAATGTTTATTTTTTTTTGTGGTTTAAAGAACGATCATTCATATATAAATAATATAACATAATATAAATTAAACTAGTACAATTGGATATAATATTTACATGGTACATTGTTGAGTAATTTTATAATAGCAGCTTGAATACATTTTTATTCTTGCTTCCAAAAGTTTTGACAACTCACAGGTTTCAAAATCTATACAAATTAATAAATAACCGTCAAATATATTGTACAAAAAAAAAATGAATTCCTCGTGCCATTATTGAAAAACATAACAACATTTTATAATAATTCTTTTTACAATTTAAAAACTTCTTCTTAAGCCTTTTTGGTATTGTCCTTAAGCGATGGTGTATCACTAATAAATTTGCATAGCGGTAAATCGGTATGCTGCAATTTTTTTTTATATAATTATAATAATTACCTATTCGTTTACATGGACAACCAACTTTTCTCAATGCAAAACACGCTACACCTAGTATAAACAAATTATGAGTTCAACTATAAAACAGTTTCCAAATAATAAAATTAGCATAAATAAAAATGAAATATGTAACTTAATAACCGTCGTTATTATCTTAAAATGTAGCCAGCAATCGGATAGCAGCAAGTAAATAACGATGGTTTTTATTAAATTTACTTTCTGCTAATCGACGGTGTATGCATTTGACTTGACTAACGGTCAAAACTCAAAACACTAACACGGTAGCCAAGTCAAAAAGGTTTGAAAAATATTTTCAAAAACCGAGAAAAACGTTCAAAATATATTTGAATAAATTAGTAATAATATTATTTAAATAGTTAAAACATAATAAAATAATCATTTGCTATTAGCAATTTTGACCTATAATCTCTTTTCACACATATTATTTGACTAATATATTACTTTTGTCAGGAACACCTGTAACAAAAATATTAAATAATTACCTATACAGTAAATAAAAACTAGTTTTAAAATTTATCTGTATTACTATCTAAACTGAGTTTACTTAGACTAATTATTAGGCATTTGAATAATGATTATACTTCGAACAGTCATCAAACTTTTAGAAAAATAACATATAGCTTTAAGACACTAAACTCAAATTGAAATTCATAGATTTTTATTAAAAATAAATTACTAGCATTTTTAAAGTTGTGTATTTATAAATTTTAGTAATTACGTAAGACAGTGGATATTTCTTTTTGCAAGTCAGTCTGGTAATTTATGCATTCTAAAATTGAAACGAAAATATACATATTTTCTTAAGATAAATATTTAAGTACATAATAAATCTGGATTTATATAAATTATGCATGTATGTCTATGTAAAGTATTCTAAATATAAAATATGTTAGAGTAATTACCCAGTAGTTTTTCTTCGCTGTTTTCAATGGTTTCATCGAGTGCCATTTCTGAAATTAAAACGAGAACATTTTAAATATGAAATCAAACAACTTTGTGCAAAAACATGTGAAAAATATTACCTGGTGCAACCAACATAAAAACAATTGTTTCTAAAATTTACATTACGTAAATGGGATTAGTTAATGATATTGGATTTAGTTTTTTATTATATTATAATAAAACTATATAAAATTACCCATAGATTTCGTTCCACTAACAAGTGATTTAATTACCTTATGCATCTTTACTAGAATAAACAAATATTGGGTCAAGAAAATAATGAGTTATAATAATAAGTGATCACCTTTAAATTAGTTAAATAGTTACTGTCTATATCTAGGTACGCCCTATGTAAACTACAGAAACTGCTGCATGAAGTGTATAAATATAAATTATTTGATTATTATTTATAAAGTATTTACAAAGTGACTAAAACGCTTATACTATACATTTTGTGCACAGATTACAGAAACTATAATATTGAATTTATTAATCAACCGATACTTAGGAAAACTTGACAAAACATTAATTATTATATGTCAGTTAAATAATTTAAGATATATATTTATTATTACCTCCTGCCCTCTTGATTTGTCTATCTGTAGTGAATAAATTAAAATTAGTGTATGCAACTAAAGTTAAATTTGTATGATAAAAAAAAAATACTAACTTGTGTAGGCAACCTCCTTTTTGTAGTCAGCTGTAAAAAAGTTAAATTATTGTATTTTTTTTATATTTTTTAATTTCTTCTAGTAGGCAAGTGTGAAAATAAAATACATAATAATTACTTATGTCAACTGCTAAAACAGTAATAACGGCGAATGATATAAAAAAACAAAAATGTTTCATTTTTGTCTGCAAAAAATAATAAACATATAATAAATATATAATAAAGCCTTGTGCATTCGACATAGTTGTCAATTAATTATTGGCTCTTAAACTGTCTTTTATGTTCTTCTAACACGTCATGATTCTGAAGAAATATATGTTAAGTTAGGAAAAACCCTAAAATAGGATTTTCAATAAAAAAAAATTATATATATATATTGTTCCATCAAATTTTTATACTTATGGGGTAATTTCACCACTAGGATCAACAACTATTAATCTATTTTTTTTTTTTTTTAGTATTTTTAGGGTCTTAAATAAAGGTATTATGCTATAATATTCGAAAGATATTTATTATTTCAGGTTTTTTTTTATCTTGGTTAAATTTGATGTTTTTTCCAACAATAACATTAATTTCCTCAGAATCTTGACTTCCTAGAACAATTATTTTGAAGACAGATTTGGATTCCTCGCTAACAAATGTATCTAATAAAGGTTGGTTTCATCCTTTGGACAAAACCCACCCTAAATTTTGCCACATCGTGTTATCGATGATAACCTAACCTAACCGTGCTTCAGTGCTGGTACTTAGAAGGTTTTAGTTTTACAATGATAACTGTCTGTAGCTAATTTGTAGACAAGAAGTCGTACTTAAAAGATACTTTCCTAGCTGACAGGTTAAAATAAAAATATTACACTTTTTTATGTTGTAAACCCCGTATTTCCGTATTAGCCCGTTATTTTCACAACCTATAAACACAAGGACTTTTACACGTTTATCGGTAGTACTATATCTAAAAAATATTCCATATAAACTTGAAATTAATTTGACTATTTATAAAAAGTTTACAAATTGCCGTACTCTTATGTTGTAAAATGGGTACATTCTATGAGTGTTTTCTTAATATTGATGGCGATAAATAAAGTATCTTTCAAGTGCAATTTCTGATCTATGTATAGAACTGCTACACGAAGAAATGTGTTCAGCAGTTTAGTATACATGATAGTATACTTAGCTCTAAATTGATATCATAACTGTTGGAAAATAAAATGTATATATTTCATGAACTTTTTAAATAAAAATAAAAAAATTGTAGTTCTTACAAGATTTGGTTAGATTGAAACATTTACATATTTCTTTGGTTGTGTTTCCTGATTTTGAATGAGTACATTTTAAATATTGGAACAAATGAGGCACATTTTAGGTTCGATTTCTGATCAATACAAAACGGTGTAAAATTGTCTGTACTATATCATTAATGAAATTAACTTAGCGGTTAAAAGTTTATCGCAAATCTAAACACGAGCATAAAAAAATACTATACGGGAAAAACTTAATAAAAATGCATTAAAAACTCACTGGCAGTCTTTGAAATTATGGTAGAACTCTTGTGAACTTCTAAAACAACCGTTTAATAGTGTATCGTTATGTGGCTTTTTCCCGAAACCGTAAAATCGGTAAAGGTTTTGCAATATGCGAATATATTTCATGTATAGGAAAATGTAGGCTATTGTTTTTATTTTCAAACTCATCACTGTGTGCTATTACTCATGAGTTGTTCTCATCGATACAAAACTTAAAAAAATAAGACCTTACATACAATGGAAACAGTAATTATGTGTTTAGCACATAACACTTCAAGGTTTTTTTTATGGTAACGCATTTAGTAGTAAGAAAATTTGGGCACATAGACCATTATCTAGTATCATTTGTTGTTCAAGTCGATACGGAACCTAAAAAATAAGACCTTAAAAAAAAATGAAAATAGCTGTGTGATACGATACCGTTTTAAATTGGTGGTTTTGAGAATTTTTACCCGATCGGAACAAGTCTTGCTACGCGCAAATATATTTTATTTATACAGATGTGAAGTAAAGTTCTTAGGCTACCGGCGGCACTATTGTGTGCTAAATTCCAAATTTGTAAAATTGTTCATGCGGCTGTGTTTTGAATTTCATACTACGAGAACACTGAGCACATACCAGTATTAAGTGTTTTTATACTCATACGGGGTTTCATATCGACACGAATTTAATGTAAATAACTGAGTGACCTGTTTTTGCCGATATCCATTAAAAGAATTATACCCGAGCGTCCGTTATTACCCCCAATGACAATGTCTCCTGGAAAAATAGTATAATACATTTATGAGGTTTGTGTTTTTCGTTTTATATTCCATTTGGTGTAAAAATATTCAAACGCACCCCTCTCACATTTCGATTTTTATGGTGGCTCGCGCAACCAATGAAAATACATTTAAATAATTTTATGAGCTACTCGACACTTGTTATGTGTATATGCGAGTACGGCTATTACGATTTAAGCTTACATTAATTTGTATTGTTCGGTAAATCGTTGGATTTATGTATAATTTATAAATCGTCAACTCGGATTTTGCCTTAAACAACTACACACAATTATTTCAAAGATATTTATTGGACGAATAACCATATCTTGTGGAGAATCCCCCCTCTTTCTTTTTTAAAATTATTATTTTACACGATTTTCTAAAAAAATATTCACATAATAATTTTTGTGTGATAGAAAATGTGTTACACTGTGTTGCATCTTTGGAGTATAATCCAAAAGTCGATACACAAAAACAATTAAAACTAAAATAATATATCATCTATGATAAAACTGCATTGATATTATGAGGGAATCGCCTATGCCCAGCGCCAACGAGCTAGAGATAAATCAAGCGGGATGATTGCCATGCATATGTAAGGGTTAGCTTAGGAACGTGACAGTTACAGCCGGTATAAATAAAATATTCAAAAATTATAATTTACCACTGGAAATTGTATCACGTACGAAAGGAATCGTATCTTGGACTACAGATAAATACATAATAATATTCATTATACTATATTTCTGAAGGGAAAAATACTGCGAAACCAATTATTGACAGCGCCCAGCGGTTTCATTAAATGTGAAAACATTATCACATTAAGCGACCAACTTTTAATTGGAATTATATTTTAATTATACGTTTTTTTCGGCCCGTTCATTGTTTCAAATTTATTCGCAAATAACGAGTTTTAATCATATTTCATCTCAAGTAGATAATGCATAATGCAATTTTGGAACCGCGCTGGATTTAGAGATTATTGTGGCGCAGTTCACTGGTTATTTTCATCGACTCACGTGGGCGCGGCGTTAAATATTATTTTCAAATAGGAACTATGTTATGAAGGAAGCCGATTTTCATTTAAAAATGTCAGTTGTCATGTAGTTAAATATATTAAATTTACAATTTTTTTTTTCAATATTAAAACTCATGGTCGACATATTTTATTAAAACCTCTTTTTTTCTCAAATATTGCCTATACAAAACTCCTTAAAAAACAGACCGCATTCAATCCTCTTAAACGTACATCAATATACTATTTGGTAGCTCACAGACAAGGCGATAGCTTTTACAAATACCTCTAGAAACGATAAGAAACCGATTTATGTGATAAATCATATTTTTTTTATGGAAATTTATACGCCATACTGTATACTTTTGTGTAGCTAAAAAAAATGTGTTGTACAGAAGCTGTTTTTAAATTGATTTAGCAATGTGCTCGATGAAAGTACTATCTAATAGGTACTGCAGTGCCGCCGTTTGGTTTTTATGGTTCGTCGACAACAATAATTCATGTCAGCAAGTATGAATCAATATCGACTCCAATCATCACCTACTGTGCCAAACTTTTGCCCAGAGAGAGATAGAGAAAGACACGAGTATTGTATACTATATAATACTCTACTACACTATTATAAATTGTGTTACAAAATTTTGTTGTGCAAAATGTACTTTAGTCGACACAACGAAATCAATAAACGCATTTTAATAAATTCACAGAAACAGTTATTAAGTGAACGTTTACAATACTGACGATTAGAGTGTACTATAAAGCACAAGAGAGATTTGTAGTTGGGTTTTGCCCAGGTGTGTACTGTTTGTATACCTTAACGTGTAATTATAACGATTCAAGACCGAGGTCAAAACCGAGAAGCAGTCTAAGCACATACCAGACCGGGTAATTGGACTGTGCAGGCGGGAAACGCAAATCATAAATCATCTCCCAAGTTACAGCAACAAATCTCAAGCAGTGTCTTCATGTTTACAGTGAGAAATAACAACGAGATGGAACGCTGGTTTATTGCGTTAATTTTTTAATTGCTGTTG